TATAAAAAAGATGGGCCAGAAAATAGCTGCTATGTACCACCTCTCTGAATTTCTCGGTTTGAAGTCCCTCCCTCTAAATTTTGCATTAATTAAGTTTGTTGGGAGCCAAGTCCGGGAAAAGAATCTAAAATCACAGAGGTTGGGGTTGGCGGTGGGCAGAACAAGACCCTGTCTCCCTTTTGCAGATTTTACAAAAACGCCCCTCACAGAACTATTAGTAACATTTTAAGCCTGGTTCATGGAACTCTTACCTTGCTCTTCACGGGTGTACATTCCCTGGATGCCTTAGAAATATTCTAAAAATAGTTTTTATTTGTAATTTTTCAAATTCCACACACAATACACACACATGGTGCAAAACTCAAAAGTCTCCAAAGAACAAACTGTGGAAAGAACGTGTCCTTCCTTTCCTCTTCCTGTCCCCTGGATAGCTCGTTCCTTTCCCCAGACGTATCCATTGCCATATTTTTTATATCCTTGTGAGGTACTTTATGAAAAGCTGTTATTTTAGAAATAGTGAGGCTCTGGCATCCAACATGCTTCACATATTCGGCTACTTGAAGTCAAATAGCATAAAAACTGTTTTAGATTTCTAATGCAAGTAACTCTTGGTCAAATCGCTAACTTCATTTTCCACCTGCTTTCAAGAAGAGGCCAAAGAAGTATCTCGGAATAGTGGACCAGTCCTGGCAGGGACTAAGGTAACTGGGGTCTGCCATGAAGTAGCAGAAATGAGCCTAGCTTCCCACCTGAAAACCGCAAGATTTCTAGACAATGTCCAAGTTTCCTTACAAAGGTAAGGGCCACAAGTCTGCTAAACAAGAGACTGATCACATCTCCTTTTCTCAAGTCAAAGTGTAAGATAGGTACCCGATACATCTACAGGACCGTACATCGAAACTGACACTCCCATAGCCCAGGTGCGACCCACAGTCTGAGATTCTATGACATAGTCAGTGCAGTTATGACTCATCAGATCTTACTTTATTTTTTGAAAATTGGCAAACCTTCAATCAAATAGATATAGAAACATAAATCAGAACAACATCACATCCCAAATATTCTTGATTAATCGTACCTTATACATTATGCTCAAAGTCATGAAGAACTGGTCAGTTGCATCAAGTAATTGTTCAGCAGTGCAATTAAGCCTTAAGATGTTGCCCATCCTTGCTACCTAGCGTATCAGTTCTTGACAGTTACATGTAGTTTTACAGGACGGTTATGGGTTCTAAAGCAAGCCTGCAGAGTTGAGTGGGACGATTTATAGCAAACTCACAATTGCAGATTTCCGAGTTCGCTCCCTGTAAGATTTATCCATCAGATCTGGGGTGAGGATTGAGAAGCACTCTCTCTTCACAAACTCTTAAATCAGTGGCTGTCCAAGCTGACTGACTACACGTTGGCATCTCTTGGGGAGCTTTACAAATTCTGATTCCTGGGGTCCAGGCCCTTAGATTCTGACATCACCGGTATGGAGGTTGGCCTGGGCACTGGATTTCCCAGAGCCGCCCTGCTGATTTCGATGTGCCGCCAGGATCAAGAACCACTGCTGTAGATCTTGACCAGGACTGCCTGATTCTGGAAATCTCTTTGGATCATCGGAAATCGTTTACTTCTCTCATTTGGAAATGGTGTCATCTTCTCCCACCTCGGCACTACTCTTTGCATGAAAACGAGGCCCAGTTGCAGGCTACCCAGTGTCGATCTAGAGACCAGCAGCATCCACATCACCTAGGTACCCATCCCCTCACCAACTGAAACAGAATCTGCATTTTAACAAGAGCCCCAAGTGTTTCGTGTGCTCATTAAAGTTTAAGGAGCACAACAAAGTGGCCTCCAAGGATGCATTCTAACAACCTCCTGGGTGCGGTGACAGCCCACAGTGGCAGGGATCTCAAGCACTGAGCCCAAGACTTTTCAGAAAAAAAAATATGGGAGATACTTGTTCTGTACTTCACGGCAAACCTTCTGAATTGCACTCTCTGGGAACCTGCCTTTAGAACAGACTGCTCATTCCCAGGTGATTATTTACATGAAAGGTTGATAACCCAGTGAAGCACATCCAACTTTTTCCCAGAGTAGGAGATATTTTCTCCTTGGAAAAGCAGCCAGATCTAATTGTTTAAGAGCTCTTCCGCATTTCACCTAAATTGGCTTAGAGGAAACAGTATTACTCTCTAAAGAAAAATAAATTGTCTCTTCCTTAGCCCTGCAAATATCTGACGATAGTCTTTCCCCTACCCAGATGATCTTCGTAGTCGAGTTTAGATTTCTCAACAAATGCTCCTGTTTCTGTTTCCTACTCTTCTGGTTATCCCTCCAACCCTGCATTGGAAACCTAGTTTAGCACAGCCCTCAAAGTAAGCTAGTTCACACCAGAGAAAACCTCCAAAATGAGCCACATAATATATAAATCGGATTGTCATCAACTCTGACCAGAACATTATTTATTTTTTTTAATAATGCAGCTCAGGGTTACTTTTGGGGGTAGGTGGAAAGCTATGTATTATATTAACTCAATATTAAGCTTCTGTTTAACCCTAACTTCCATGTCCCTTCCCCTTGTATCATCAAAAGATGCTACCTCCTTCTCACACTTCCACAATTATTCATTGAACTTAAGTATAAGGCTTTCTTTATAAGCCACATACATTTCATCACTGTGATCTCTGTATCCACGGCTTCAGCCTGGCAGAATATTTCTGGTTATCAGTCCTGAATAAACACTTTTGGATTCAGATTCAAGTCTGATCGCTACCACTCTGTTGTAGAGCCTTAAGCAAGTCCCTTAGCCTTTATAAGCCTATTCTTCATCTATAAAATGGGTACAATAATAGTACCTATCTTAAAAGGTGGTTATGAGGTTTCAATGAGATATTGTAAAAGTCACTTTGTAAAGTACAAAGCTGTAAAGGTTAAGAAAATAATGATCTCCAAGCTAGAAGTAACTTACAAACTTAATAACTATAACACTGATTTGTTTTCAAGCCCCACAAAAAATAAGTCGCAGTCTCCAAATCCTCTGAAAAACCCATCTGTCTCCTTCCCTCCCATCACCGACCTATCCTAGTTTGTTTCCCTTTTGAAGGGTTTCTGTCTTCTGTTCACAAAAGAGGAAGGGAAACCTGGCCTGAGAACCATAAAACCAAATACCAGAATTGTTCTCTAGAAACCAGCCACATGGGAGTGGATGAAAGCAGAAGACCCCTTCAATGTCCCTGACATGGGTGTCAAAGTGTCCAGGCAGGGCACCCACTTCCAGTTTCTCACCGAAAGAGGAACTCAAAATTGCTGATGTCCTGGCCACTGGAATTCTATAGAGCCAGGGTTCCCAAGGTAAGGAGATATGATAACACATAATAAAAAAATAATATATATAATATGATGTAATACATCCATCATCATGAGACTTTACCTTACCCTATTGCCAAGAAAGCCCCTTGAAGTTACTCAGGGGCAATGAAGTTTCACACAGAAGCCTGTGAACTTGTACAGAGCCCCTCCACCCCCCCCCACCCCCCACGAGTGGTAAAATTCCTAGATGGAAATGAGTAAGAATACACTCCAGGACCTATGTCATCATTTATACCTCTCCACCTCCAAATCCTCTTTTCTTAAAATAGAGACAAAATAGGAGCCTAAGATTTACCCCCAAAAGACTAGGGAATGCTTGGTCATCTCTAACACTTGGTCATCCTTCTCTCTGAATTTCCAAATACTCTTCCAGACACAAAGCTTTGCGAATCTGCATGATTCACAGGTCAGAAATGCAGAGATTTTTAGAATACACACATTTTTTCCAAGAGGCTAACCAAAGAGTTGTAATTTGAGCACATGTACAAGGCAAGTAGTAAATACACTCAAACTACTCAAGTAACAAACACCTAATATTTATTAATAAATTAGTACACTTGAAGGCATTTTTTCTGCTATCAGTCCCTCCCCATGACCCACAAACCCCGCCCACACAAAGGGAGTCCACGCCACCTTTGCATTAGAGTCTGGCAACTGAGCATTATTAGAGAGCATGTTTATAAACGGGAGCAGAGTTGCAAATATATCAGACAAGAGCTCTTACAGCTGCAGCCACTTTTAATTAAAGTGATTGAATGACAAAGGACACCCACCAAGACCAAGGCCTCGAGGGCAGACTGGACCTACCGACTACGTGTGTATAAAAAAAACAAGACATCTTTTAAAGCAAAACTGAGCAAATCCCCTATGGAAAAAGGTGCCACGGGCACTCAGTTGTGACTTTCCAAAGTGCAGCAATACGTTCCAGAATAGCTCAATTCCTAAAAGATGAAGTTCAAGTTCTTTGGTGGCCCAGGTGTCAAGCCACTTAAATAGCAAGGTCTGATGGCTTGAGGATTTCATGTCTCCAGCCCAGAGCATCATTAGCGTAAGAGGGGCACAAGTAATCAGGCATTCTACACGGTGCCCAAGTGAAAATCATACAATCAGCAACAGTGTGGTCAAGTTTCAGCCATGAATATGAACTATACAACAAGGCATATTAAAACGATAACTCAAAATCTATTGCATTACAGTAACGCAACGGGGTATTACACTTCTTTAACCCTTAAGAAAATTTGTAAATTACAAATAATAATAAAAAAAGTTACAATTAAAAAATAAAAAGCTGATGTGGATGTTGAGACATGAAGACGGCGTATAGAATTCACAAGATGCCATTACACTTTTAAGAAGTTCAGAGCCTCACAATCCAGTGTGCAGGCAGGAAAAGCCACACTGCATTTGTGGTACATTAAGTGAATTTAAAGTGCACAGAACAATTTTGAAAACACATAAGAAGTCGAAACAGAAAATATGGAACCCAAAAAACTTTAGTGGTGGGTATTTTTCAACAGTTACACCTTGAGTAAGGCTTATAAACTAACTTCCTAGAAGGGTTAAAAAAAGAAAGAAAGAACTCAAAACACTGGCCATATACTCTGTTACACACACACACACACACACACACACACACACACGCACGCACACACGTGCGCGTGCACATGCACACACACGCAACTAGAAAAACAGAAACAAAACAAACAAAAAACCACCCTGCCACTAAATTGAGTAATTTCCAGAGTGCGGTATCCCTCATGGTCTACAATAGATCGGGAAGATGGCTATATACAGAGTCCAAGAGGGTCTGGCTGGCTTCCTGACTCTTGACTCCAATAATCTCAAATAGCCGGTCCAGCTTGTCCTCAGCCTGAGGAATCTCTTCAATCACCCGCAGCTCCTCAGGATTCAGAATGTGGAGCATGTCGTCAAAAATAGGCTGTAAGTCACAGGGGTCCAGGCGTACCTGCCGCAACACCGTGTCCTTCTTTTCTGCAGGGAGGACAGGGAAGGTAAGGGGCGGTCAAGGGACTAGACTGGGGAAACAGAACAGCGCTAGGAGGGGCAGTTCCCCTCTCCCAGGCCGTCCCCACCCCCACCCCAAGGTGTGTGAGTGAACCCCTGGCACATTTTAAACGATACAATAGTTTTTACTTGCATTGCGCTTAAGATAATAAGATCTGCCTAACAGAGAGCAGACAAGGAACCACTTGCATGGGTTGTTGACTGTCCTTAGCGTGACTTTTGTCTAGACCTAAAAGACTTCGGGATTCTTCTATAACTCAGCAGAATGCTGAAATACTTAGAGACACTTAAGGAAACAAAACAAAAAAAAAACCACTTTTCCATCTGCAATGTGTTTACTAAACAAAGATCAGTCCACCCTTTTCCCCTCAAAAATTCCAAGTCCATGTAATCTGCTTATCTGACTTTCAAATTACATTGCCACATTTCAAAACTAAATTACAAGGGCAAAAGCACACAAATAAGAAAATACTGCTTCTTGGATCACACCTTACAATGAGACAAGGGACTGTAACGTATTTATTACTCCTCTAAAAAGCTTTCTCTAAAATATAATATGTAGCATAAAATACAAACTAAAATATAAATCTTTCCTATAAATATAAAATAGATAAATGTAAATAGGTAAGGTATATAAGAGAGAACATATTTTATAAACATAAACTACAACATAACATGAAATATAACCCTTTCTTTAAAATCTAACTGGAATTACCCAAACGGGGAAATTTCGAACAAAAACCCATTACAGATATAGTGTGCCTGCTAATTCCCTAGCCTGCCATGAAATATCCGAAAGTGGGAAATTATTTACCAAAAGTACCAATCCTCAATGTTTAAAACCTTGTTCTCTGCAATGATTCTGAAGAGAGTGCATTTTAATTTGAGTCACTGAAACTTATACTTCTGACCCCCAAGATAGGTTAGCCTCTAAACCCTTGGATTCTGCAAACCCGGTCTGGTAAATAATTTTCAAAAAAACCTGCCAGACAACATTTTATCGGACCTTCCCCGAAACACCTTCGATAGCATCATGAGGATAAAGGGCGACCAATGCAGGCTCTCGGCCAGATCAAAAGAGCTGTAAAGACTTCCTGGGTGGGTCCCCGCTGTCTGATGCCTCGGTTCCTCTGGGGCCAGCCTCACCTTGGGGTCTGTCATAGGTTTTCCTGGGCAGATCACTCCCATGAGGCAACTACTTGGCTGTGAGGCTGGCCAGGGAGAAACCCCGGGGACTCCTCTGGGGGAGGCTTAAACAATGAATATGCCCTGCTGCCGTTCTGCCAACGTCTGTACCTTTGGTAATAAAGGAGCCCGTCCTGCTCAGAGCCGAGGAGCCGCTGGATGTGGAGTCACAGCGAAGAAGAGGCTCCGACTCATCCACGAAGAAGCCCTTGTTCTTGTCCAGCGGGGAAGGCTCCACCGTCAGCAGGGTGGAATTCTCAAGTTTCGTGTTGGGGCTGGGGATGGGGCTTGGGCTAAGTGGGCTGGGGCTCATCGGGAGGGCCAGTTTGTCAGTTTCCAGCTGTGAGGGGAAACAAACAAATAAAAATGTTTCTTATTATATACTTCAAAAATTGTAGAAGAAAACAATGAAATCAAAACACCCTCTCAGATGCTATTTTTGTTCCATTTACTATTTTATAGATGAATTCTGCCATTCTGACAGTCTGTAACTCACATTATTGCTAGACACACATACACACACGCTTTTTATTTATTTTTTTTCAACGTTTATTTATTTTTGGGACAGAGAGAGACAGAGCATGAACGGGGGAGGGGCAGAGAGAGAGGGAGACACAGAATCGGAAACAGGCTCCAGGCTCCGAGCCATCAGCCCAGAGCCTGACGCGGGGCTCGAACTCACGGACCGCGAGATCGTGACCTGGCTGAAGTCGGACGCTTAACCGACTGCGCCACCCAGGCGCCCCACACACACGCTTTTTAAACCCTCAAGAATATACGTGGCGCTGGCTAAGCATTAAGCATTAAAAATTAGGAAGCATGTGCACGAAGCTGTTACCTCACAGGAACGGAATTGGAGTGAACAGGAAGATCTCCAACTTAGAAAAACATTGATTGAGCTGGTGTAGGTCTTCGATAACATCTAGTACCTTCCCCTCTGTATGAGCTGAATTATGTCCCCCAAAATTCATGTTGAAGTTGTAACTTCCTATACCTCAGAATATGACTGTATTTGAAGATGGGGCCAACTAAGTAAGTTTAAAAAGAGGTGATTAAGGTATAATTGGGTTCTAATCCAATATGACTGGTATCCTTAAAAGAAGCCTTTAGAAGAGGCACACAGCAGAAAGACCATGTAAGACACAGGGTGATGGTTACCATCTTCTCCAAGTCGAGAAGCCTGAGGACACCTCAAACTTCTAGCCTCCAGAACTGTGACAAGATAAGCATCTGCTGTTTAAGCTTCCAGTCTGCGATACTTTATTACGGTAGCCCTAGCAAACGAACACATCCTCTTTTTACAAGTAAGGAAACTGAGGTCTAGAGAAATGACGTGACTTTCTTAATTATGGGCTCCCAAAGAGTAAGGGGCAGAGCTAAGACTCATTCCCATTTCAGAGCAGCTCAGGAGAACACCAGAGGCCAAAGCAGCTGGAAGAGAGTGAGGACCACCCCACTGGAGCCAGTATAGAGCTTCTAAGGACTTAATGGAGACAGTGAAGCTTGCATTCTGGAGGGGAGGGTCAGAAAGACAAAAACAAGGAAGCAAACAAACAAGATGGTTTCACATGGAGATGGTGAGCTTCATGCCCATTGGCTGGTATGCAGAGAATGGATTTTGGGGGGCGCGGGGGAGGGCGGGCAAGAAACAAAAGAGAGAGCCCAGTTAGGATGCTGCTACAGTGGCCGGGTCAGGTAAAAGCATGGTTTGTACCTAGGTGTGCAGTGGGGAAATGATAGGCGATATCACCCCGTTTTACAGATGAAATGACCAAGGTCCAGAGAGGGCACACAGCCCTTGGGAGAAGGCCGGTGCTCAACTCAGGTCTGCTTAACACCTCTACTTAGCTTCTCATTTGACACTCTGCTTTAGAACTCTGGCAGGCATTTGTGGCATCTCTTAGTTCATTGACTTGAATCTTTTTATTGGCTCTTCTGGCATGGATGAAAATCTGGGGGCCAGGTGGCCAGATCGCACAGGGCAGGGTTCAGGGAGTGCTAATCACCACTTAGTAGAACCCTCATGACTTCACTCAGACACGACAAGCAAAACATTGTCAAGTTCCTCAATCAGGAAGACACTGACCCTCATTTCAAAGTATTGTGCTCAAGGGCTGTAAAACGCACAAGGCAAACACAGCTGCTTCTTTTACAACCTGTAAGGCCTGAGGAATTCTTGCAACTGACTGGAGATTCCAAAGACAACCGATTACTGCACCTGCCCACTGTTCCAACAGCATTTTTCCTCCGCACAACCACCCACACCCTGCTTCTGCTTCCCAGTACAAGCTGAAGACTTGCATAACGCATTCCCAGCTGCCCCCTTTCTGATCCACAGACAAAATTTTATGTTTCTGCTTTTACACTTTTAATTCAATAGGCCTTGGCATGTGCCCCTCCTCTCTGAAATGCACATGGCCATTCATGCCAATACACATTTTTTATTCACTCAATTAGACAAAGAGCACTTGTCTACACTCTGGTTCTCAGGGACCACATTACATTGGACGACATGGTCAGTCAATATAGTGCACTGTTCTTGCTTAAAAAAAGAAATTCCTGCCCACAAATCACATGCCAACAGACTAAGGAGTCCACCCACCTATTTCCTGAACTTAGCTCAAAACTTTAAATATTTTATTTTTCCCCCACTTTTGCCAAAGGATCCTATCAGTGGAAATTAGGTACGTGATTTCCAACACAATTCAGTGAGACAGAATGCTGCAGTGATGCTCTCTTATAATCAACGATGAGTCCAGCGAATAAGAAAATGTCCCTAAGAGTGGTTTTAGCATCATCACCGTAGGGCTAACAATCACAGCCAAAGCCAGAGCTCATGTGACAATCATCTTTCTAGAAAATCTATTCAGCTACTAAATATAGGTATCTCTCCCTTTATGCAGGATACACAGCAGCTGGTTGATTTCCAGATTTCTCTAAAATTATCTGCACTTTTCCTATAAGGAAAAAAAAAACCCTGCTCATAGAAAGTTAACTTCTTTCCTCCCTTTCTTTACCTTACTATTTACAATATCCATCAACACTGGGTTACAATACAGCAACTCAAGCATTGTATTACCTACGATACCTATTAGATAGCTCTAAATGGAAATTAAGTCATTGGGGGTCACCTGGGTGGTTTAGTCAGTTAAGAATCTGACTTCAGCTCAGGTCATAATCTAGCGGTTCATGAGTTTGAGCCCCACATCAGGCTCTGTGCTGACAGCTCGGAGCCTGGAGCCTGCTTCAGATTCTGTGTCTCCCTCTCTCTCTTCCCCTCCCCTGCTTGTACTCACTCTCTCTCTCAAAAATAAATAAAACACTTAAAAATTTTTAAAAAAGAAAATTAAGGGGCGCCTGGGTGGCTCAGTGGGTTGGGCGTCCGACTTCAGCTCAGGTCACGATCTCGCGGTCCGTGAGTTCGAGCCCCGCGTCAGGCTCTGGGCTGATGGCTCAGAGCCTGGAGCCTGCTTCTGATTCTGTGTCTCCCTCTCTCTCTGCCCCTCCCCCGTTCATGCTCTGTCTCTCTCTGTCTCAAAAATAAATAAACGTTAAAAAAAAAAAATTTTTTTTAAAAAAAGAAAATTAAGTCATCGGGATATGTGGAATAAATTAATTCTTTATTAATTCAGACAGTTCATGTTCATTGTTGAGTTGATAGCAAATAAAGAATACTTATTAATAAGATTTAGATACTAAATGAAAAACACTCTAAACAAGAAAGCCAGAAAAGGGTCTTCTTGTTAAATCTTTAAGCATACACTTAGCCAAATATTCACAAAATAGATTATGAGGGACTTAATTTTTTCCTTATGCATCTTTGGGCCTTCCAAATTCTCTACAGGGACATATCAACTTTTATAACTATAAAAACAATACAAGTTATTTTTAAAAGAAGTTACCACAATGGGGTGCCTGGGTGGCTCAGTTGGTTAAGCAGCCAATTTTGGCTCAGGTCATGATCTCACGGTGTGTGGGTTCGAGCCCCACATTGCGCTCTGTGCTAACAGCTCAGAGCCTGGAGTCTGCTTTAGATTCTGCGTCTCCCTCTCTCTCTGTCCCTCCCCCCCCTCTCAAAAATAAATAAAATACTGGGGTGCCTGGGTAGCTCAGTCGGTCGAGTGTCCAACTTAGGCTCAGGTCATGATCTCGCAGTTCATGAGTTCGAGCCCCGCATCAGGCTCTGTGCTGACAGCTCGGAGCCTGGAGCCTGCTTCGGATTCTGTGTCTCCCTCTCTCTCTGCCCCTTCCCCGCTCATGCTCTGTCTCTCTCTGTCTCTCAAAAATGAATAAACGTTAAAAATTTTTTTTTCAAATAAATAAAATATTTTTTAAAAATTGTAATAAATAAAATAAAAGCAGTCACCACTGATAAGTATATTTTCTCTTTGCTAACTTGGAAATATTATGGCTACAGTAGCTCTTATTTATTTATATTGGTAGCCGAGGAACAGGATCACCTTGGAAGATCACCTACTTGGCTGAGCACCTCGCTATACTTCCGTTAAGTGTCCACAGGCACAAAAGGGTAACATTACCCTCCAATTCACTGCAGTGAGGTAGACACTCGACTTAAAAGAAAGGCCTCTGGAGAAATCTGGCCAATGAAGGCAATACATCCACCAGATATTTGAAGTCCTTTTGCAGAAACTTTAAAAATACAATTCTTTTTTGCCTTACAGCCAGGAGACAAATCATGCTAACTTAGAAGACTCACTTGAGAAATGAGGTAGAGACGGTAAGACACACGGAAGGGGGAGGCAGCAGGGATAATGAGGGGAGAGCTCCCCAAGTAGCCAAAACCAGAACGGTTCTATTGTGCGAACTTCAAGAGCGTGCAATTTACTTTCGCCAAATGAGCCCCAAATGTCCTCCTGATGAGTTTCTATGCAAGTACACTTAGTCCTGCCAGATACTGTATTTATTAGTCCCAAGTGATAGGGGAAGGGAGATAGATAAATGATTCACCTACTCAACAGCTGAGTCACACCTAAAGGTCCACTGCTGACCTGACTGCTTTCCTTTCTGATTAGCAGAACCACCGAGTACAAGGTACCATCCAAATGGATGAGGGAACCAAGGTATTGATTGAAATTGGTGGGCTTGACCATCCCGGGGCTGTAGAGGTTTGTAGCAGTCCTTGTAAGAACAGTGATTTAACTTGTATTTGGGCTACACCGGGGTGAGCCATTCATTTCCAGCTGTGTCTTTGTGACCCTCCACTCCTACGGCATCCAAAAGAGCACCTGCTCTGGGTGCTCAGCTCAACTACAACCTGAAACTGAAGCTCAGAAGTAATTCTTCTGTTTTGGCATCAAACCCCAAATCGCTTTCCTTGTT